GTCGGATTCATATCAAATTCTCATAATGGTTGATCTCAAATGGGCTACTTGTTTACTTATGGCAGTATTACTATTTTGTGGTAATCTATGAAACAGATTATAATAGCCGCATCTTCTAATTACACAAAAAATTTAGCAATCCATGAAGTAAGTCGAGAATACATCTAGTTAAGATATGTGGTCTATCACGTTCAAAGCACCTGTGGTCTTTCTTCTGGAAAAATCATCCCAACAATCATATGTGAAAATAATGCATCATGTGTTGCTCAATCAAAAGAATGATATATTAAAGAAGATAGAATAAAATATATCTCACCAAAATTCTTCTTCACATATGATATTCAAAAAAATAGAGAAATCTAAATTCAACAAATTCTTTCTAGTAATAATTTAGCATATTTGTTGACCAATGCACTCACTACTTCAACTTTTGAGAAGTTTATATACAACATTGGAATTCATAGGTTTAAGAATATTAACTGATCTAGTCATGAGGAGAAGCTTATATATATTGTACTCTTTTTTCTTTGATCATATTTTTTTTCATTGGATTTTTCATGGCACAGTTTTTAATAGGGTGTTAGAAATATATTATGTTCTCTTTTTCCTTCACTAGGATTTTGTTCCATTAGGTTTTCTCTAATAAGATTTTAATAAGGCACAATATTTTTATGGACATCCAACAAGGAGAGTTATGAAATTTAAGAAATTATGTGGATACCTATATCTTTCAGTTACTTTGATATTTTTGGGTTATTCTAATATCTTTCAGCTATTATTATTTTATATTTTATTTATTATAATTGATTACATTTATGACTTTAAATAGGGGGTATCTGCATTCAACACATTAAAATGAGAATCATCTCTTCTCTCACTTTTTGAATATTCTCTCCTCTTCTTCTAAATCACTATTTAAACATGAACTTCATTTTAGCTTATGGTTATACTCATTTTTGTTTTAGTAGCAATAACTTTTATTTAAAAATATCAAAATAGTCATCTTTTATTCAAGCAATTAACTCATGTAAAAATATAACATTGAGTCTTTCCATAAAAAAATCATTTAATGTTTCTAAAATGTGAAAACTTAACAGAAAATAATTATATGGTGCATTCATACTTCTTCTTCTTCTTCTTCTTCTTTTTTATGGGCCAACGCATTCATACTTTTACTATTAGTACTATCATATATCATTTATAGCGCTACAAATATTTTAATCCTAGCTAACATAACACCACTACATCTTTTTGCTTCAAACTTGCACACATATCGAGAGTTATACTCCCTCTATCCTTAATTATACTCATGGATACATATCAAGAAAATGGTTAAGTTAATTAATGTTTGAAAATTGATTCCATTTTCCATGTATTCTCTTCAGTGATACTCTACATTTCATCTTTCCAACTTTCTGCATAGGAAAGTTTGCTCCTGAAATTAAAATAATTTTGATATAAAATTTAACATGTAATTTATGATAAAAATACTCACATTGCAATTTTCAGAAAAGAAATGCTCCATAATGCCCTACTTAAATTATTTTTTGGCCAGAACTAATTAAATTATTGTCTTTTAAAATAATTTCCTTTTTCAATAATCATCTGGAGCCATGCCTCTTACGTATATATATTCTTAGAAAAATAAATAATTAGTGAGGGATTTAGCGACAGATTCTATTTCTAACTAGTTACTGCAAAAAAATCTAACCTTTGGTGATGACTTTTAATTATATATTTAATTATGTTCATTTAAAAATAAAACTAAATTTTAAAATTAACTAAAATATTTATAATAAAATTATTTAATATTTAATATTTTATTTATTTTAAGTTGATTTTCATTGAAAAAATAATATTTTATTAAAAATATAATATAAAGAATAATTTAAATAAAATATAAATATTTTTAATGCATTAACAATTGAAAATAAAATTTAATATGTATCATGTGTGTATTTTTATAATATATTATTTGATATATTTATGTAATTAAATAATATATATCTAATTTTTCATATAATAATTACAAGTGCTTTTCAGTTCAACTGATAAAGAATGAGAGTATAGGCTTAAAAGGTATGAGATCAAAGGTTTAAGTCTTAACTTTGACATAAACATAATGAATATATGACATAGTAAGAAGCAAGTGACACAACACAATGTGGATTATCATGGGTTGTCGCATACGAGACACGAGATGGTAGGTGACATGGTAGTTGATGAGGCATGAGATTATTGGTGACATGTCATAATTTAACCCACACATGACGGTTGATGTGGCATCACTATTTTTAAATATAGACATATTTAGCAAGGGCTAATCCTTTGCTAAGGTTATCAAATTTTGAATCCTCACTAAAAATTAGTGGGGGACTAAATCCCCCTTTAAATCTCTCGCCAATTAGCAAGAAAAATATGATCATTCATTAAATTTAGCGAGCCTTGTTTAAGTTATGAATTTGTCCCTCGCTAAAATGCAATTTGGCGAGGGATTCATTAAATTCTATTTTTCTAGTACTGTATTCCTATAAAGTCTGAAATAAGTTGCATGATTTAAATTTTATAAATAGTATGATTCTTTTAAATTTTAAATTATATATTAATATATTGCTTATATAAAATTAATAAAACAATTAACTGTATTATTGATAAATTACAACTTGTGACAAGTTAAACTTTTTGGTTCCCCCCCTCATACACTCGAAATTCACATATCGACTAAATGTATTTTGTTTTATATGGATTTACCTAGTTTATTTGTAGTGGGAACACCATCATGTCTCAGTTTTATTGGAAGCTAACTTGAAATACTTGAAATATATAAATTTGACTAAATTATATTTTTAGTCCTTTAACTTAATATAAAATTTTATTTTAATACTTTAATTTTATAAAGTGTCTTTTTAATCCTTTAACCCTGATACCATTAGTTTTATAACAAAAATATTTTACATTAAATTTTAAAATATTGACAAAATATTTTTAAATGTTGATGTCTTAAATTTAATTTTTTTAAAAAATAATAATGTTTGACATAAAAAAATAATTTAAAAATAACAGTATTAGGATCAATGACTGAAAAAATATATAAAATGGAAAATCAAAAATACACTTTAGCCTATAAATTTAAATATCTAAACTACTTTTCTATTGCTTAACATGGGAGGGGAGGGTTTTTATGTTACTTTGTATTGTTTTGTTAGAGGAGAGGGGAGAAATCTTTAATGATCTTTTGTTTGGTTAAGATGGGTAAGGGAGCTGAGATAATAATTAATTTCCATTATATCCTTATATGATGATTTTTATTTTTTATTTATTTCTTATGTAAATTAATTATACATCTCAATTCAAATTGCTTAATGTATGTAAAATTTAATTTTATCCTATATACTTCTAATAAAGGCATGAAAATTAATATAATAATAAAAATTGACTTGCCCTCTTTTTATGATGATGATAAAAACATCCGAATGGAGCCAGTGGATCCAAGAGGATACTAATCACAGCCCATCTTCATCTCTCCTTGCTTCTCCCATTGTTGCCAACAATAGAGTCCCCAACATAGCAAGCAGTCAAATGTTCATCGCCTTACCTAACACACCCTAATAAAGGAATTATTATATTATTAATAATTGATGAAATTGAATTTTCTTATATTTTACATTGACTTTCATGTACAATGGGGAGCCTCTCTCATCACAATCAAGGAGTATGAGGGAACACAAAAAAGTAACATACACACAAAAATCAATGTATATTCTGATTTTATGAAAATACTTTCGCTTATTCAATATAATTTTCTTGATAACCATTATCTCTCTGGAATTATCAATAGAATCAGAATATTGGTCATGAAAGATTGAATCATTACCTCCAAACACACGTTTAGGGAAGCAAACAGATGTACAGACATGCTCGCTCACTGAGCCTCTCAAGATAATCTTGATCTTATTATTTACAATCATCCGCCCCCAGGATGCAAATCCCTTATAAATCATATATGACTTGATTTGTTCAACTTTTACACGAGTTTTCTGTGTCCTTGTATTAAAAAAAACATACACACAAAAACCATTTATTATAATCAAAAAGCATTTAAATAAGGTTAACTGATAATTTGAATAATGAATTATAAGCTCAAGAGGAGTTCGAACCCTAAACTTATATTTAGTACATTTTAACTTTGAATAACTAATTTAGAGCAAGTTCTCCATGCAGTCAAGTTGGCATAGATGCTCGTTACTTAAAAAAAAAAGTGGAATCAGATATGCAATTTCTACCCTCATTAGATTACACTATCCCTCTCCCCCTCTTTGTACAACAACCTAATGGTAGTCAGAGTGCCATCACTGAGCACTCCCTTGTACACCAAACCAAATCCTCCATTGCTAATTACATTTACTTTGGTGAATCCCTCTATCACCACTTCTAGCTCTCTGTATTTGAAACACTTGAAACTCCTTTGAATCTAGGTGCTGCTAGTGTTGGCTTGCTCATGTTTCCTCCATAAACTTGAGGTAGGATTTTAGGCGATTGAGACGGAAGATGATAAGCGAAATGGCAAAGAGAAGCATGAAAATTATACATTTGGTCTCATTTTTATAAATAACAAACATTTATGCCAACTTAATGGTCAAAGAGAAATTGTCCAAATTTAATTGTTTAGAGTTTAGAATATATTAAATATGAGTTTAGAGTTTAAATCACTTTTGAGCTTATAATCTAAGGCTTAAATATAATTTAAGGTCTAAATTACCATTTAGGCTTTTAAATAAAGATTAAATAATTCTTTTTAAACTTCTTTTTGGTAGAAAGAAAAAAAAATAAACTAAAGTTCTCTAACCAGAAAACAGACCCTTTACTTTCTCTTTTTAAGTTCTCTGTATTAAGTTCATATCCTTCCACACCGTAGCCACTATTAAATGTTAGAGAACAGAAAACGGAAGAATATGAAATTAAAATAGTGGCTACAGAGGAAACATCAACTTGGCCAAAAAGGGCAAAAAAGCATATATTTTAATTTCCTTAGAAAAGCCAGCAATGTACGAACCGCGAAAGCTGAAGAACAAGAGAGAAGAAGTCTGCGATATTCACAACACAAGTTTCTTCAATAGCTACCAGGTTGGATTCCTTATTTTCTGGAGCTTCGGTTTCACTTTCTTTTTTCTGAAAATGCTTTATATGGAGTTTTTATTTATTTTTTGTTCTTCTCTCTCGGCAACTTTTGGTTTGAGGTTCATTTCGAAACACTCGATTTTTTTTCTGTTCTTTTCTCGCTTTCCATTTTTCATCTACTGATAGCTGAGTTTCTCTTTCCTAATTTGGTCGCAAAGATATTGTCGAGTTGGAAATTCTTCCTTAGCTCGATTTATTGGACTTTTTTCAATTATTTCTTGTTATTCTTCCAAGATCACTAATGTTTCTGTAGTTTTTATGTTTATCAACAAAAGCAACATTTTCTCACGTCTTTCCCGATTCTCATCTCTGATCCGTCGGTTCTTGGTCGGATACTTGGCTTTTGTGAAGAATAGTAGTAGTAGTAGTAGTAGTAATTCATTGTAGATCTTTCCCTATGTGATGTGAAACCACTGGATTTACTGTATGTATAATGCCTCTCTATTAATGAGTTCAAGTACAGTGTTACCCCCACTTTGATTCTGCTGATATATATATATATATGTATGTATGTATGTATGTGTAATTTTTTGACTGTATAATTTACTGTATATAATAACCATGTGTTACGGATGAAGAAGAGGGGAAATGACGAGAAGAAAGAAGCAGATAAAGAAAATAGACAGTGTAACAGCAAGACAAGTGGCTTTCTCAAAGAGAAGGAAAGGTCTCTTCAAGAAGGCCCATGAACTCTCAACTCTCTGTGATGCTGAGATTGCTCCCTTGGTCTTCTCTTCCACTGGCAAGCTCTTTGATTATGCTAGCTCAAGGTTCTTATATATATATATATATATCTGTGTGTGTGTGTTATCTCTACTCTAAATTTCATTCTTATACACACACATATATGTACAAAGGGATATTTAATTCTCAAACACGCACACAGAGAGAGAGAGGTTTCCACATTATCATAGTGATTGATTTAAGAATGCAATATGAAACTGTTTGAGTACTCATTATTATTATTATTATTTTCAGTGTGTGTGTGCATCTGCACTTAGCATCTCTCACTTTGTATGATCTATAAAAGTAGCTACCTAGGAACATGTGTTTCGATTTTTATTGTATAACTTCTTAATCTGATAATACAGCAGCATTTCTCATCTAGTTGATAAGAAGCTTTTGTAACTGTTCTCATTAACTCCATGATCTTCCTCTTTTAATAAATTGAATTCAAAGGGTTAGAATTATAAGTTGACCACTAGTTAGAATCTACATGATTCTTGTTTATTTATTAACTTCTAACCTTAAATTGCAATGCATGTGTTTTAATACTGCTGTTACTCTTAAGTAAGAACTTAAAGGGTTAACGAATGAATAAATATTTTTATGGATTTGATGAAGTAATTGAATCATGACTAGTTGCCACACAGTTGAAGGTGCTGAGTAAAAACCATTGGGATTCTGAAGAATTTCTTTATTTATTTTGACATATATAAAGCTGTCCTTAATTATGTGATCTTTTGCATCGATTGATTTCATGGAATAAAATGGATAAAGGCACTCAAATGAGTTACTGTTTTTGTTGGTTTCAGCATTCAGCAGGAAATTGAATGGTATGATCAACATTCAGCCATTCAAATACAAGGTAAATCACCTGTTGATGTGCAGGTAATCAATGAGTCAATATCAATCATCAAAATATTTATATAAGTTATAGAAAGTTGTACTTTATTAGCTGTCAACGATATGCCATATCTTATGTTTTGTGCAAAAAATACATATGTGGCCTACTCTGTTTACTTAACTTTTTCTTTTCTTTTCTATTTTGGATAACATACTTAACTAATAGGTAGTTTCTCTAAATTATGACTTGCACACACTCCCCCCCCCCCCGCCCTTCTTTCTTATTTGATTGACAATGGGATCTGACTACTGAATAACTAAGCAAATGCTTATTATCAAATGAACTAGAGGGAAAAAAAGGATTTGCTTCACCAACAGGAGTGGGTCTAGTAGAAAGAGTTAGTCCTTCATAATATAGCAATCCCAAGTTTGCATTGTCACTAGGAGAGGTACAAATTTAGTGTCCGATTATGCCTCAAATAAGGGGGGATCTCCTTCTTTGGAAGACTTAAACTCACTAAAGAAATTAAGTTTGTCATACCTGTAATTATCCCTCCATCTTGATTCTTTGCAATTTGTTGTCCATCAGCTCCTTTTCTTCTCCCCCCAACCCTTGAAGATTTTTCCCCTTCTGGATTTGATCAGGTTCCAGGATAATAGGGGCTAATCTTACGAACAAAAGTGAAACTGAATTGCCCTACAAAAAACCCTAGGTCCTGAATTAGCTCCACAGAAGAACCAAAAAGAGCATTGCTTTGATGGGTGACATAATGTTGACATCAATTTATGATAATATATGAAATAATGGATATTAAATCACGATAGGCTAATCTTCTCAAGTCTTTTTGTATCTTTCCTTTGGTTTTTTTTTTTCTTTTTGGAAATACGTACAAGCTTAAAGGTGATGAGAACGAGCTGCACAAGGCAGTAGTAGCAGAAAAGACTCGTGAATTGAGGTATACAACTTTATACTATACATACCATGCATGAATGTTCACAAGATTATTATGTTCCTGAGACAAATGATGATTTGCACTATAAATTAATTCAACAGGCAGCTGAATGACGAAGAGCTTCAAGGATGCACACTTGAAGAATTGCAGACGCTAGAGGAAAGACTTGAAAGGGGCTTGTCCCGTGTTTCAAAAACAAAGGTTTCGATTTATTCCTTTTTGTGCTTCAATCTTCATCCTCTCTAAAGTTTGTCAAGTTCTAAGCAAAATTCTAACATCTCCATCCCAAAATTTAAGTCACGTTTTAGAAGATTTGGGATACTCGAAATGTAAGTCATTTTATACCATTAAATGTTATCCTTTCAAATTTTCCCCGTGAGAGATTTTAAATGAGATATATCATTAATATGAGATTATACTTTAATAAGGGTTATTTCAGAATGTTCAAGTAACTTTTGAAAAGTTCATGTTCAATTAATTAACTTTAACCAACTTTATTGGTTTGGGTAAAATAATTGAAATTAAAGTAATTTGCATTTTGGGACAGGAGGAATAATACTTTTTCATACTCCTTCCATTTAAAAATATAAGATATTTTTAATTAAATTATGCTATTGGTAAGTTACTTAATTATCCTTAAACCGATACTATCTTTTCATATTTTTCTTTATTTAAAAGGGTCTATTACTTAAAGGTGAAGGAATGGTTTAGTGATGTATTTATTAAGGGTACTTTTGGGGAAAAAAGTCATTAATTACACATTGAAAAATTAAAAAATGTCTTTTATTTTTAAAAATATAAAATCAGAAAAATTCCTTGTATTTTTTGAATGTAGGGAGTATAAAGTTTGTATTTGTATATACAAAGAAAGGAAAGTGTATTATACTAGTATTCTGCAGAGAAGTTTATGAACTTCAGTAAGGGTTTGTTTGATTGAATTCTTGAACTCCCAAATCTCGATTGCATTCCCAAAAATGGCGTGTCTTTTTTATTTTTTTTTGTTGTATGAATCCTAATCCTGTGAAAAGACTCATTACCAGACTTGTGGAAGGATGGTTCTCCATAAAAGCGTGATCAATCCTCATTCCCAAAAGCTGGAATCACACTATTTCCACCAATACCCTTCATCTGTGGATCTATGATGGGGATTTTTCCCCCTTGTGGGCATTCTGATTGGTTTGATTTTTTATTTAAATATCAAAAATAAATTTTTTCCATTTTCAGTATCATACCAAATAAATTTATGGTTATTATTCATTCCATTTTCACATTTCCTGTGGACCAAACAGCCCTAACGGCACAAACTTTAAGAGTGTTAGGATTCCTTTATGCTATTAATTTCATTCTTCATTTACTTGAGGGATTGAATGTAGAAGAAATATAATATCTTTTCATCAATCATGAATCAGTAGTCACTGTATCTTGTAAATTTGTAGAACTTACCTCACCTTGTTCACAAGCTATGTTATGAACAACGTGGCTTCCTACATTTTGCCCCATGACTTATTTTTCTATAATATCTTTTAATGTTCTTTCACAAGATTCAGTAGATTTCCTTAAACCTACATTATTGCTGATGTAGAATCTACCTGATGTGCACATTTTCTATTTTAAAAATCTATATTTTTACATTTTTTTTTAAAAAGCAATGCCTTTACCATGAAACCCAAAAAAAAATCTGGTTTAGTGATTATTACTGCTAGTCATCTTTCACTGTGTGAAGAAATTGGCTTGATTTCTTCCTCATCCTACACCTTTATGAGTTGTGATTTTGTGTAGTCATTGCATTCAAGCTCTTGAGTTAACATATTTACTATGATTATTGTTTCAGGATGAAAGAATCTTAAAACAAATCAATGCACTTAAGAGAAAGGTAAATACTACACCGAACTTAGAATTTTAGGAGCTGCTCTATATGTGCGCGCGTGCGCCAAAGAATGTTATTATTATCTATGAATTTATTCACTTTTTATCAACTGATAACCACTTAATCCTTTGCGTGTGTCTAAATATTGATGGGTACAGTAGCTTGTAAATGGAAATCTCATTATATAACTTATTATACTTCCAGAAGCAGGAAAAACTTTTATGTGAATTCTACTGAAGTCTATTCAATCCATTTTAGACTTGAAGTAGTTCCAAACCTAAAAAGGGTCTCTCACAGTATTGCAAAAGGTACACCTTTACTACAAAAAGCACTATTTACACCAGCTAAAAATAACTTTTTACATTAGTTCCAAAACTGTGTAGAAAGAGGCAATGTAGAAAGTCTTGACTTTGGACTTTCTACACCAGTTAAAAGATCAGTGTTAAAACTTATTTTAAGCACTTTTTATACTTTCTACAATTCGAGGAAACAAAACCATTGACGAGTGTGATTGAAAACTTTTGACTTTAGTCTTTTAGTCTATCTATACTGTAGCAATTACATTCATTCCCCTTGTTCCCATATATCTGTTTGGTTGGAGGGAAACGGAGGGAATGTGAGATTCTAATGAGTTTGATTTTTAACAAAATGGAGAAGTGGGGTTAAAATATTTAATTAATTTTGCTTACTCTTTGAGTTTACAAAGTTCTCAAAATTTTATAACTCCACCTATACATTTCTTTTGGATCGAATTCATTAGAATTTCTCTTCCCTCCTTTTCATTTCCTTCCAGCCGAACAGGGGTTAATGGTTAGCCCAACTAAGAAAAACATGAAAATAGAGAGCGTTGACTGAATATTAGATTAATTTGTTTTCTTGGGATCACCATTTCTAGTTTCTTAAATAAATTTGGTACTTTCCCCTCATAAGAAAAGACAATCAATACCTAAACTCTTAAAACGTAAAACATCCTTCTTTTTATTGGACTAGAGCTATAAACTTCATTTTTGTGAATGTAGCCTCTATTTAATTAGTCACAAAACAATATCTTAATCTTCTCAATCAGTGAGGTGCTGACACACAAATTAATGGATGTGAAATGCACAAAAGAATATGGAATTAGGAAACTCAATTAATGTATGTGAAAATAATGCATATGCCACTCTTTTTATAATCTTCATTATAAGATACTTTTAACTCATTCATACTCTCCGTTAAATTAATTAATGGTATGTAAAATTACACATTTTTTTCTATGTATACTCTTATTTACTTAATAAGTTGCCTCAATTAAAAAACCCTTGAAAGAAACCTTATTAATTACACTTTAAAAGATTCAATACACCTTATATTTTTTAACATGATTCTTTAAAAAAAAGTGTCTTATACTATGTAGCGAATGAAACATAATACACACAAAGATTCACTTATGGTCATACTTGAATGATCAGTTCTCTGAGAATCCCTTTTGAATAATCGATTCCACAAGACCGGGTTATTCCAGGAGATTTGATGCTCACTCTTCTCTTCACACATGACACTATAATTTGAAAATTTCCCATGATGAGAAGATTCAGATCCATATTCTAACAGACTAATGCATATGATTTCAATAAAACATAATGGATTTCAACAAAAAACCAAGTGATGCTTTTTAGGACACTAACAATGTTCCGCGTACACTCTCAGTCACCTTTGCTATTGCAATATGTTTGACTTTCATGTATAGGGAATCCAACTCAAGGAAGAAAACCAAAGAATGAAGCAGGTGATCACAGATTTTCAAACTCTTATCCTCTAAATTATTGCATCTTTTTTCAGATGTTATGAAATGAAAGTCTTGTAACACAAAGATACACTTGAGCTTTATATGTACAGAGCCTTGTGCATGGACAAGGGCAGTCTTCTGAGTCCATCATCATTTGCAGTTCATCTGACATTAATCCTCCTCAAGACTCTGATAGTTCTGATACATCTCTCAGGCTTGGGCAATTAATTAGTTTATCTACTTTGTTGTAAGGCCCATGATTAATATTTCATCCATGCACAAGCAAGAATTAAATCAATTTTCATATATTTAAAATGAGTTGAATCAAGCCTCTAAATAAATGTTGGACTATAGTGGGATAGCTAGTATTAATTGTGTTTTACTGTTTACTGCTCTGACAATTTTGGATTGTCTGAAGTTTTAATTATGTTTAGGCTTGAGCATTGTTTTGTAAATTACAATAATGTTATTTTTATCATATGTTTTACATTTTTGAAATAATAAAAATATTAAAATTTCAAATATGTCAGATAGGTTTGTTTAATGTAATTTGAACCGTCTACATTTGATGCTGATGGTTTGAATTGAATATATAGACCTTGGTTGCTGTGTTTTAGCATAGTGGAAGGTTTCAATTCTGCAAAATAATTTAAATTAAATTTTGAATAGGTTTTTAACTGAGAAATATACAATCCATTCATTTTGTGAAATAATAATAATAAAAGATACTGCTTCTATTTTCTACCTTGTTGGCACTAATACATTTATTTATTTATTCATGTGGCCATTACTCTTCATTCTTCATAGCACTAACAAGAATTTGGTTTTCGATGTGCTGTAGGTTGCCTTTATTCAAATACGAGCATAAATGTTTTTGCCTTAGAGGATTAGGCTTATGAAAAGGAAAACACGATCTCTAGCTTCCATTTAATGGTCACTTAAAAACCATTTTCTTTGTATGTATGTATGTATCATCTGTGTGTGTGTGTGTGTGTGTGTGTGTGTGTAGGGCTATCAGGTCAAGCTGAGGCAACTGTACTACAACTCTCTCTCTCTCTCTCTCTCTCTCTCTCTCTCTACATACATGCATATATATATATATATATAATTTCTTTTGGCTAATTCGCTAAACACTGCTGTTAGATAAGTAATATTTAGTCACCTGTTGCATTATTGGTAGTGTTGGACTTTTCTTTTCCTCACTCTTTTTGCCCTTTTCTTTTTGGTGGCCGAAGAAGACCTTGCAGAAAACAAACTATAAAGCAATTGTTTATTAGTTCAGAAAAAATGTACGGTTTGAATTGACTTGACTCTCTAAGGATACAACACTAAAAATTATATTTAAACAACTCACAAAAAAAAACAATTAGATTTAAACATTTCCTATCAAATTAAAACAGAAAAGATAATGCACGTGAGCATGGTATGACACACATCTTAATTGACTGCAAATTTGCCTCGAGTTCTAATTGTAGTGTCTTCTAAAATATATTCTTGGTCTATAAAATATAAGGGGGGATGACAAAGAGATTTTAATATGATTAATTAATTTAAGTTAGATTTTAAGTGTTAAATTTTAAAAATTTATAAGTTCAGTTTTAAATTTTGCAAATGTATTGTAATGAATTTATAACTTGTTTTTTCAAATTTTAGTACGGTTGGAGAATAAAAAATTATTTTTTATTAAAATTTAAAATATAAATTGTAAATTCATTATAATGAAATTGCAAAATTGAGAGATTGAGTTATAAATTTTTAAAATTTAGTGTTTGAGATCTAACTTGAATTAATTAATCCTTTTAAAACCTTTCTATCATTCTCCCATAATACAATGTGCTTGTAATATTATCTAACAATTTTTTTTTACTCTCAAATTTTTAATGAGAGATCTTGTAGATTGATCCGTGAAAAAAATGGAGGTTTTATGATAATTACATTTATTTAATTAATAAGAGTAAAAGTAGAATCTTGAGCTGTTTTTCTTTTGGGACAAATTTAACAATATTGCATATTTCTACAAGATACATGAAACAGTTGAAAACATTTTATATTTTAGAGTATAAAATTTTAATACATGATGAATAATTTTAATGTAGAATCCAAGTCTTGTTGCCATCCCACATCCATTAATTCATTCCCCCTGAAAAAAAAAAAACTCTCAAACAGGTTAGATAATTGGATTGGCTACATGTTCGTCAGCCATATAGTATTTTGTCCTTTTGGCCAACTATAGTTAGTTCCTGTATTTTAATTGTATTTTTCTTCTAGTCTTTATAGTTTTATTTCATCGTTTTCCGTTCTTTTAGTTTAATTTTGTTTGCAATTAGTCCCTTTAATTTTAAAAATGTCCAAAATGGCTATAAATTAGCACTGATAGAGTTAATTTCATGGTAACTCTACTAATCTTTTTGTTGATACATTAAAAGTATGTTGGCAAAGAAATAAATTGGCTAAGTATGCTTAAAAATAAAAGATAAGAGAGCAAAAAAGCTTCCTTGTATATTTGGAATAAACAAAACGTGAGAAACAAAGATGAGATTAAGAACACATGCATCAATGAAGGGGTTAATAAAGTTAAGTACAGGTAAGAAAAATTAACTCCATCAATGACAACTTATGGTCTTCATGTGCATTTTGAAAACTATAGGAACTAGCATTATAGATATATCAAACTGAAGTGGCTGGGAACAACAATATAAAACTATAAAAATTAAAAACAAAATGCATTCAAAGTATAGGGATCTATTAATGTATTTTCTCCATTTTTTGTTCCTCTTGCAAAAATTTATTTATTGTGCATTAAATATCAATCCCATGTGTTGTAGAAATCATACTCCCTTTAATCCTATTTATAGGATAGAGAGAGAAGAATTTTTTATCCTATTTATAAGTTACATCATTCAAGTTTTATCACAAATTTTTCCTTTTACTTTCCATTGAATGTTAGAAAAAGAAAATATATTGCTAAAATGCGTATATTTAATAAGGGTAAAGTTAAAAATTTATTAAATTTTTAAACAAAATTAATTAATTTTAAGTATATTATTCGAGGTTAAAAATAAAATGAATGATGATGTGATGATTAAACATTTTAGAATTTAAATGTATACAAATATGTTTTGAGTATGCAATTTGAACCCTAAACTATATGCCCAAGGGTAATTTAAATCTTAAACTCATATTTGGTACATTATGAATCTTAAACACTCTGAACATAATTTAAATCATGTCCCCTTACACTTGAAATAATTTTAGTGACATAATGACTTAAAATTGGAATGCCTTAGGCTGTATACCTTTTCTTTATACTACTTTAAAATAAAAATAATAATTTAAACCTATACAGAACACTAATTTAAAAAAAAATCAGTAGCATAATAGCACATAAATGAATTTTTTCAGACATAATAATGCACTTTTTTTCAAAACAAATATAGAACAATATCACAGCATTATTTTTAGAAAATAAAATCAAAGATAACAACCCATTTTTTCAAAAAAATTAAGGCAAATAGAGAAAATGTCATCATTATTTCAAAACCAAGAACTAATTACCTCAAAGAACAACCCAATATCAGAAAAAGCAATTAAAAACCTCCATAATTCATAGCAATTCGTTCTATTAAATTAAGCGACACCATCTATGCATTTACATAGTCTAAAGCAATTAAATTCAACATATATATATATATATATAAAGAAAATTTAATAAAACAAAGTTTCAGATGATTAAAAATATCATTTTTATATAAAAAATAAAAGGAGAGACAGAGATGCACAGTAATGCAGTCAGAGAAGAAGAACAGTCACATATACACTCCATATATAGAAAAAAAAAACCGAAACTCAATAAAAATGATAAAGTAGGAAGATTAGGGAGAGGATCACAAACCTAATGGAGAAAACTTGAAGAAGATGAAAGAACAAAATCAACGGACTCCCAAAAGCTGAAACTCTTTAAAATGACAAAACCACCACAGGAAGCAAGGCACGGCAACAGTGACGGAAGATATGTGATGGCAAAAAATGAGAGGTTTCATGAGAGGAAGAGAGTCTTGAAATTTTTTTGAGTCGTAATGTTCTGATAGCAAAATGAAGTTGAAAAGTTTTTTAAATGAAATTATTTAACAATTATTGAAACTAATTGCTATATAGTCTCTAAGACTATATAGCAGTTGTTTTAAAACATTCGTTACATAAACTTTGAGACAAAAATTTTAAAAAGAAAAAAAAAAGACTAGTTAAATGGTTTTTTTTTTTGAATAATTGTTATATACAAATTATATAATGGTTATCTTAGTTAGCATTATATGTTCAAGTGCACTAAATCCTGCCTCTCCTATATAACTATTTTTTTTTTTAGTAACCGTTATATAGTAGACGTTATATATTGCCTATTTAATAGTGAAATCGTGCCTATTTTAACGTTAAAAGGCTCTGTGTTTTGTGTAGCTTTATATGTAATTTGGCAAGCCAGGATTAATGATGAGTCTGAGCATGAAAATCTTAATTGTGATAGGTTAAGTTATAATAAGGTGATCGATGATCTCATATGGAAGCATTTGCTAACCAATAGGAATAGACAAACAAAAGCTACATGAACTAGATTTAATATTTTTGAACCTTTAAGCAGATGTACCTTTTAAATTTAAATAGATTTTAATTTACATATATGCTCCCTTTTGTATGATGGAAGAGTTTTTAATGAAATCGAATTAGAATTGGAAACATAATAAAATAAGGTTTCAAAAGTACAATCTTTGATATGTAGATGAAATCTTAATATAATTTTATTTATTATGTGTATCTAAAATGTATAAAAACCCAATGCTCCTTTCAAAATATTGAAAGAAAAAACTCTCACTATTGCCTTTCTCTTTACTTGATTTGTCACCACTGTTGTCAATGATAGTAATGGAAGAGGGCAGGGGAGATTAAGGATATGATGAGAATTCCTTGAAATTTAGCCAATTCTATCATGATAGTGATGGAATTAGATTCAAGACATTTTTGAAAATTTAGATTCATGCATACTTCCTCTGTTCCAAATTATATAGTATGTTTGAAGGAGTTTCTTTATTTTAAAATATAAGATATTTTGAGTATATTAAAGTTTCATTAAATGCATCAATTTTAATATCATCTTTTCTCTTTTTATAATTAATTTTTGTCTTTTCTCTTTTCAATATATTAAGTGATGGACATTTTTAAAAGTTTATATTTTTGCTTTTAAAAAATAAAGTTGTTAAATGTATTTAATGATGTTTGAGATGTTGTCTAACAGCATCTTATAATTTATGACAAACTCAACTTCATGATTTTGGTTCTATTTTCATTTCAATTTGGCCAATTATAGGCTACCAAACGTAGCCTAATTTTCAAACATATATAGCAATATAAAGATGAAATTGTTAAAAAATATGCTGAAAAGAATTATGTGAATCATTAAAAAAATATACTAATTGAGAATTTATAATTTTTGGTTCAGGTTTAGCCCCGCTCAA